AACTGCAAACATTATGTTTGTGTAAAACACATTATTCGTTCGATGAAACAATGGAATTCTATCTACGCAGATTTGTTGGTGCCAACAATCATAACAATCATTGCACATATAAATATTACCAGTTTCCATCGAACTAATATTATTTTGCGTGCTGCAGAAGCAATATTATAAATTAATCCAATTTAGTCATTAACATGCAGTTCAGTTATCAAACAACAATGTTAAAAAATATATGTTTTCGTCCATATTGCATGTTTAATGTAACAAAACAATCAGAATTGTTTATCAAATCAGATTTGTGATTTTATAAAGGTTAGCGAAATTGTAGAAGGTAAAGATGCATTGGACTCTCATTGTATTATGTTTGCAGCTGATTTACAACTATCTGGGAAAATATACGCATGCGTATTTCGTGTTCAATCCTTTTAATCATACGTGCATTTTGTTTGTTTGGGGAAAGATCTAAAATCATGCACACAAATAGGGGAGGGAAAATACTATGATAAAATACAAACATAAAACAAAAACAAGGCTGTATCCATGCCAACACAATTTACGCAATGTCTACTCAATAGTTTCCTTACCTTCGTGTTTGCAATGAGCTTGTCCTGTTGCCAGTCCCAGACACTCAACACGTGGTTATCTCCTTCATCAAGCGCCAGCAACCAATCTCCGCCATTCTAGATATAAATAATGTATCCTCTTTTGAGCGTATTGTCTGCTGTCAAATACTCACCTCGACGCGGATATCGAAAACAATACATGCAAGTACAACTTCCTGCTACAATGTTGAATTATTAAAAACAAATTTTGTCTGGCCGAAAAACAATTCATATTGTTCCCATTGTATGACTTATTGACTACTGAAACGCTGTAAAGTATATGTGTTTGTGTAGTTATCTTTAAATAACATGGCCCTTTAAGCTGAGAATGACACGAGCCTTTAACAACACCGTGTGCGTTTGTTTGAATATAATTTCAAGTGAGGAATATATTAATAAAAGGCTTGTTCCGCTGTTTCCCATGTCTACTCTGAAAGCATTCTGATCAATGGTATAGAATGAGTCAGAAGTCAGCAAATACCAAAGCATTTGAGGTATGCGTTACAAGAAATCTTACCTCCTTTGAAAAGTTAATAGAGACAACACCGGTTTGAAAGACATCAAGGCCAATGATGGCATGCGTACAGAGCGTCTCTGTTTCCCATATACGGATATGTGCCTGCAACGAAATCAATATTTAAGACATGTTGAGAGCACATTATCGCAGATTCAGGTATATATACAAACAATTAAGGCATGCATTATTTGTATAAAACATATTTGTTGTTACCTAAACCATGTTAATATACACCTACAACTTTGGATAGAAGACCACTGCATTCACGGCACCCATAGACAGCTCATTAATATGCAGAAACATGCATTATGTTAAGAAGGTGCAATTGTTAGTAATTTATACAAGCTGATTGGCCTTTGAGAAAAAGTGCTTCATACTTTAGAAAAATATATTTTAAAACATGCATAATAAATTATAGTATAATATATTTCTTTTCATAATTTCAACTCTCGGATATTTATTTTTTTTATTTTAAAAATTCAAATGTCATAAACAAAAGCAAAGAAAGAGGGTTAGTAGAGCTTGGCTGGTTCGGGCACTGATTACAAAACTAGAACTGGCGAGTTGAATTCATGATGGTGCGTGACTATTTGCAGTTTCTGCTGCTGCGTGATTGGTTCCCTTGACGTCTTAGGGATATGTGATTGGCTGCGTGATGGGGTGCAGAAACGAAGGTATCTTCAGTGTTTAGTGTTAGTTCGTGCATTATTTCATATAAATGACATGACACCGAAGTGATTTGACCTGGTAAACGTTTCAAGGTTCAAAGCTGAGAACGACCCCAACAATAAAGAGCTCTTATTCTGCAATCAGTAGACACCTTTGTGGAAGTGTGCATTACGTAACAATCTACTATTAGTATCACACATTTAACCGGAAAAACAAGAAAACGCCAATAATTTTTAATTGGATACACCAATTAACGTCCATGCTAATTACTTACAAGGTGACAATACGCCACGTCCAGAGGCTAATGGTGGAAAACAAAATTACAATTGAAAGGGGATTTATTAGTTTGTTTAACTCCCATGCTTATTAGTAAAGGTAACACCCGGGTAAAAACAACAGACGGAACACTAATCTAACCCCAATGCATGCATTTTCAAGATGGACAGGAAAACATGAGAAATGTGAACTACAACCAAGCGCGGCGCTGTAATATAAATCATCTTTGGTGTTAGCATCTAAGGTGTACACATGCCTAATATTTGCTTACAGTTACATGTATTTCTAAATGATAAGTTGCTTCCAAATCATTAGCTGAAATAACATTTTCAAAATCAATACAACGCTCTTTTTTTCAATTTTTTTCAAAATGATAACAATAATGATCAATATACTGTAAAATGACTAATATTCACTGGGTTTAAATTTCACTGATTTATCATTTCAGGCATATTCAGTAGGTTTTAAATTCATGGTTTTATCATTAAGATAATGTGTTCTATGCTTAATTTTACATATTCACTGGGTTTTAATTTAGCGCATTTTCCAGTCAGCGAAATAAGCAAAAAATTAAAACCCATTGAATAATTAATCCTTTCACAGTATGTCCTAACTTTCTTGTTTTCCTTGTTCTGGCACTGATGGCGCTGTGGTTGTTTCGTAACCAATTCTCAATCTCACTCTCCAAGCAGGTAATTTGTTCCAACAAAAGGCACAGCCTAGACCAGTGAAAATTTGTTTCATCAACTTGTTGCGCTGCATCTACTGCTTGTTTTATTTTTCATCTTAAATAAATCTGATCAACTGATAACAATAGAGGATACATATTTTCAAAAACGCTCTCAATAGTTGATGCGTCACAACAAGGGAATGTCTCATTTAGCGACAGTGACGTCACAGTGCGCAAAGGTGTATGGGTAAACAGTCTTGAAAAATACACAACTGAAATGATGGAATACAAAAAAAACAATGTGAGGACCATGTCGATATCTTACCGTTGAGTCAGGTAGTTGTCCGGCCATTTGTCCGGTGGCGATATAGTTTTCTGAGGGATGGACGGCCATACTGAAAAAAACGTTAGTTTATGGTCAATACCAATAGCAATTATCATATTATCAAGCTGTTGGTGACAGGTCTATTTACAGATGGGGCAATGATTTGCCATTTTGAACGTCGTTGCCTAGTTACAGCGGCCATATTGAAAACTGCTGTGAAATATTTGTGACTTCACGGGTATAAATATTTTATAAACGTCAGACAAAATTGGGTTCCTTATTACGTCATGTGCGGTGCGGTGCGTAGAATCGATCCAAGCGCAGCACCACGTACATACTTACCATTGTATGTCTTCGTTGTGACCCAAGTAGTGCCTCTGAAATTGTAAATCAGTGTCGTAAAGTATGGCAATAGCACCAACAAAGTAGACGACTTCACCTGACGGTATCACGTAAAGATTACATCGTGCATCGTAACCACGGTAACCATAACTGGTACGTAGTTAAGGAAAGCATTATTACAGATCACCTGAAAATTAATTTTACAGCGTGGAATCAATGATCACAGCTTACATTGACAGCAAGCGCCCGTCAATCAAATTCGCGGTCAATAGTTCGCCATTTTGTTTACTAGCATCGTATCTAGGCGCTCGTGGCGCGAGGTACAGTGAGCTGAACGTCACATAGATCTTAGGCTCAATTCATATGCGCAATGAAAAAAAAATAAAAAAAAAAAACAACTAATATCACCAAAAGGATACACCCATTGTAGCTTAAGTTTTCTATCCGGCTTTGTATTGGGATCCGGGTAACGTGTATTGATGTTGGATGGTGGGTAAAACTGGCGCATTTGTCCATGTACTTTAATCTTCACAGGATCAAGACTATTGTCGCGTTCATTGTCCAAAAAGGCAATACCATTAGCCTGTGTGGCTTTGTTTTGCTGGTAGCGCATTTTCATGTCCCGTTCTGTTTCTCTATTGTCCACTATCTGAGGTAAATGATTATTGTCGTTCGATGCTTGGATTGCCTTGTGCAGATACCTTTCCTGGCGCGCGCGCCGTGCGTCGTAACGCAACTCGTCATAATTGTCCTTTGGCGCGTACTTTTTGAAAGGAAAGGTTTGGGTGTGCATTGACTCCTGTTGTGGATTTCCGCGAAATGTGTATGGTTTAGGATGTCCTGTTAGACTTCCCTCACTGCTGGAGGCAAATCCTTGTCTGCCCGTTACTGGTATACTCTCGAGCTCGGAAGAAGCGTCCGTCACTGGACTGTAACTGTTCTGTTGCACAGGCTGGGGATGATAGTGTTGCTGATGTGGTGGTGGGTGTTGTTGCTGTTGTTGGTGGTGGTGTGGTTGCAGTTGTATCTGTGGTGGATGCTGTAACTGCATTTGTTGTGGTTTTGGATGCTCTGTATAAGCTAATAAAACAAAAGAAAAACAGCCGGCTGTTAATTCCAATCAATAAGTCGCGCCCACTAGTGACTGTCATTCACGGCGTCCATATTGGTTTATTCTGTAGTTCTTTGTGAATAAAACATAATGTTTTAATAGGTTTGCTATATTCTAAACGACCACCGCACAACCAGACATACTAGTAGACATACCACTCTTAGTCATGTGACCTATGTGTTTATTTCATTTGAAACAACACGGCTAGTCGTGCAATCAACTATACCTACCCATAGAATAGACGCTATTATAGAACCGCTTCGTAACTAAAGACCTCAACTTATAGACAAAGTATATAGTTTTCATATTTTTTTTAACGATTTTAAAATGAAACATTTATTCATATTCGTAATGTGTAGGAAAATATATTTAAAATTTTGGAAGACGAACAAGATGATCGCCATTGCAAAATACGATTACCTGGTGGGCATATTATGAGATGTCGGTGAGAAATACATCTATGCTTTGGTATACTGTAAACGCAAATGGTAGCCGAGATCTCATTAAGAGCGAGAGAGCTGTCTCGATTATAGAGTTTGATTCTCCGACGTCATCTCGTCTATTGCTCCACTGTTCTTGGTATTAGGCACAGTGGACGTGATAACGGTAAAGAATGAAACACTTCTCGGGGAGGGGCAAAAACAAATCGCGTTTCTCTTTCGCTCTCTGTGAGATCCCGGCGGACATTTACGAATAAGGTATATTCAAGCGTTTTGAGAATAGCAACTACTGCGACTCAAATAGTTTCATTTGGTTTCAACCAGTTTTCAACCAGTCACTGATGACGTAAATATAACGATGTTATTTCAAGTCAATACAAAGTGATATTCTGATAACGTGTGTACACTTACCATGGGGTGGCTCCTGTCTTCGTTTCTTTTTTGGTTTTCGCTTCTGTTGCGCCACGAGATGGCTCCCTTTCACACCGTCTTGCCGTCGACTGGGGGCGCCATCCAGACTACTATAGACATTGTTCGCAGGTGGGGTTCGTAGCAAGTCTTCAGCACCGCAGGCAACAAAGGTGTCATAATCTCTAAAGTCACGAAATAATTGAGAAAAACTTTCAACCTAAGGAAGAAATGTAGGAAATATATCAGTATCAAGGTTTGAGAGATGGTGAAATGTTTCTTCCATAGAAACTATTTATAAACTACTCAAAAAACGCGTTTTTTAATAAATTTACGAGGTCGTTTTGTGAAAATATATTTTTATTTCAGAATTTCGAGGAATATGTTGTTTGTTTTTTTGAGCGATCGAACTATCACATGAGAATAATGCTACAGCATGGGAATATACATAGATGCTCGTTTCAGAAAATAAAGCTTGCTTGCACTACAAATTTAAACATTCATTAACCATCAGAAATTTGAACTATTCCGAAAAAGATCCTAACTTTATCAACAGATAGATGGTATACTCCATTCACTGACATTGACGCGGGAAAATAAAGATGCAGGATGATATCTATCAATGTTACACGAAACAGAGGCGTGAACAACTGTGTCAATTAATACATTTTATAAAATTATTGATTTTTAGAAATTACCAATATCAGTTGAAGATTTGTGTATAGCTTTACAATACCTCATAAATAATACAAACCTCTTTTCGCAAATAAATTCTTTTCTACAAAAAGCCCCCAAATTTAACTAAATATGTTTAATCCTGCCACGGATATATATTATAACAGTAATTGATTATATTAATAATTAATTATATTAATAATTAATTTCCCTCAGCGTCATTTTCGACTTCACACACTATCTTGCCATACACCCTTCCTCCCCTATCCAATATGGCGCTGTTGAGGATTCATTATAAGTTGTTTAATTAAAACTAGTAAATAATAAAGTGTCTGTATTGAACGGGATATCTGGGAATATTGATGGGTTGCTCAAACGAGTCAATTGTAAATTTCTTGAGCAGAATTTTCACGCGAGTAATCGCCGTGAAAAAAGCTTCTAAGCCGGGAGTCACACTACGTAAACATAGTTGCCATGGTAACATCGTTCGGAAATATAATTGGCATGATATTGTTATCGTTTTCTTTGCAAATGTGCCGTGATTTCGTCTCACTGACTATCATCGTTTCTCGGTGAATAAATTGACTATAATAAATGAATAAATAGATAGATGTATTCATTTTGTGATAATATTATACAATTCATGCCATTGAATAACAGATTTGATTGAGTTATGGATATCGTGTGCTTTCTAATTGTTTAGAATCTCAGAATGTGTAGTGCAG